AGCTCAGTAAGTTGATCAAGGTCACATAGCTAGAAAGTGACAAAGACAGAACTTGAGCACAGGAAATCTGGCCCCAGCATCTGTAACTGGGGTCACCACACCACGCCCCCCGCCCCCCCACAGGTCGACTCCAGAATACTGCGTCACTGCAAGGACCAAGGCTATGGTGCATCAGAGCCATAAGCGTCACCACCACAGTCAACAACAAACTTGATGTGCACACACTACTCAGAGGACAGTATTCTGGCATTGTAGAAAAAAAATTTTAAAAAAAACAACAAAAAGAAGAAAACAAAAATTTAAAAACAGGTACAACATGGCTTCTTGCCTGTGAAGGTACTTAGTCTGACTTCTCTGTTGGAGAAAATGAAATTGCCAGAGACAGAGTACTATGGATTCACCAGGTCAGTTCCAGAAAGAACCAAAAGCCCAGGTGATTAAACCTATAAGGGGAAAAGAAGAGAAATCCAAGATTCACATTCAATCATCTGGGAACTAGAGGAGAGCTAATGTAAGAGGGAGGTCAAAGTCAAAGCCAGTGGTCTCTGGAGAAAGGGTGATAACAAGAGTTGAAGGGGCCCATTTGGAGAAGATGCCACACTTGACCTTCTAACTCATGGGAAATGCAAGGCTCAAACCTGATTCTTTGAGCCAGGTGTGGTGGCACTTGCATGTAATCTCAGCACTCGGGAGGCTGAGTCAGGAAGATCACTGTAAATTCAAGGCCAGCCTGAAGTGCATAGCAAGACCCTCTCTAAAACAAAACAAAACAAACAAACATGGCTACTTCTGACTCTAGGTAGAATCCTTTTAAAAGCCCACATGAAGCTCGGCTTGGTGGCGCACACCTGTAATCCCAGCACTCAGGAGGCTGAGGCAGGAGGATCTCTGGAGTTCGAGACCAGCCTGGGCTACATAGTTCCAGGTCAGTCAACTACATAGTGAGACCCTGTCTCAAAAAATGGAGAGGAAAAAAAAAAAAAAAAAGCCACGTGAGCCAAGCATGATGGTGCACGCCCATAATCCCAGCACTCAGTAAACTGAGGCAGGAGGATCTCTGGAGTTCGAGACCAGCCTGGGCTACATAGTTCCAGGTCAGTCAACTACATAGTGAGACCCTGTCTCAAAAAATGGAGAGGAAAAAAAAAAAAAAAAAGCCACGTGAGCCAAGCATGATGGTGCACGCCCATAATCCCAGCACTCAGTAAACTGAGGCAGGAGGATCTGGAGTTCAAGGCCAGCCTGGGCTGCATAGCAAGTTCAAGAATGGCCTGAACTACATAGACAGACCATCTCTAAATAAATAAATAAATGTACAGATATTGATAGACATTGAGCGAAGCGAGGTCTAAGGCAGGGCAGGAGCCCTCCAGTGGCTCCAGGGGCCAGGCTGGAGTGTGTAAACGAGTGTACCAGGTAAGTATAGTCGAGTAAAACTTGCACACTATCCCCACCTTTCCCCTGCCCTGGTACTGAGGATTGAACTCAGGGCCTTCACACTGAGTTACATCCCTAGTCCCCTTTCACTTTTTTTTTAAATTTTTATTTTCTTCAAGTAAATCTCAGCCTCTTTGTGAATTTGGGACAATATCCTACACATAATAGTTGCGCTGCACTGTACAAGAGATAGATCAGATAGGTTAAAATATGACATTTACCCTCGCTTTCTGCGTGTGTGTGCGGGGGAGTGCTTGTACTGGGGATTGAATTCAGGGCCTGTGCAATGAGCTGCATTCCCAGCCCCTTTTTAAATTTTTGTTTTGTGTTTAGTCTTGCTAAATCGCTAAGTTGCCCAGCCTATGCCCAAACCTACAATCTTCCTGCCTCAGCCTCCCAGAAAACTGGGATTGCAGGTGTGCACTACCACGACTGACGTCTTCACAGATTTTAAGGGAAACCAGGCTCATGGGGATAGACTGGTTTCCCACAACGGGTGTGTTTCCGGCAGTGGCAGATCTGGTTAGATTGAGGATTGGTCCCAATACTCTTGTTTCCCCAGTATGGAAACAGCTTTTATACTGATTTTCAGTGACAGAAAGGAAGCGAGGAGAGCTCAGCAAACTGGGTGAGAACAGAGCTCATCCCTTGGGTGGGATGAAGTGGAGGAGGAACCCCAGGAAACAGCAGGTGGGGACAGCTGTGAGGAGTACGAAAATGAGAGTTTGATCTCTTAGGAGCCGCCTCAAACGTGAAAGTGACTCAGGGTGGAGGCCCAGAGCGAGAACAGAGCTGGGCTCCTTAGCCTTGCTTGTGGTGGGCTTTTAGGATGGCGCTCACCAATAACATTTTTAAGGCAACCAGATTGGAGAAATGATGATGAAATTTTGCCCAATAGAGAAAATAAATCATTCAATAAAAATCGGTCATGGAGTTGGTATGTTTATCATTTGGTTTAATTTGTCCAAAGTAGCTTTCCAAAGACTGCTGCTACTTAATATAAAATCATATTCTACTTTTCTTTCCGAGTGCATTTGTAGCCAAATAAAAAAACTGCACTAGAATAGCTCGGCCATTATTTTCTCTGTTTAAGAAGCAGTTGTCCTAAATTTATTTTCTTCCTCTGCCTACATTTCTAAAATTTTTGCGTTCATCTTAATCGTGCCTAAAATAAGCTTCTAAAAATAATGAAAAGTCTTAGGGAGGAAAAGAAAAGAAAGAAGATGATAAATTTTGTTAGCTTCACAAATAAGAGATCTTGTGATTCTGTTTGTTTGTTTGTTTTTGAGGCAGTGTCTCACTACCAATTCAGGCTGGCCTTGAACTCATTACACCCTGCTGCCTCAGACTGCCAAGAGCTGGGATTACAGGCGTGCGCCACCACATCCAGTGAAATCTTGTGATTTGTAAAAGAAAAAGCTTAGCTTTTTATATTTCAACACTTGATATCTATTTCTTAGAGTTTGTTTGGTTGCTTAACAAATTCTGTATGTAAATTCTAGAAAAATAAGAATATATGACCAACATACTTTACTTCATATCTCACAATTTAGGGGGAAAGTGTTTTCTTCTTTTTAGAGGCAGCCAAGAAAGAACTTAAGACAACGAAGTGTCAGAAACATGTTCTGTATTTTGCAAAAACATTAATCTACCATATTTCTAACTAATTCAAAGAAACAATAGACATAGTATCAGACTAAAATTTTGTAGTAAGAAAGCAGTTACTGTATTTGCAATTTTCAACTGTGGGAAAAAAAAAGCACCGGTCCTTGAGGTAATGGTTAATCACATGTAAGTAGATTTACCTAATAAATCATCTGGTTTGTAATTATCTAAAAGCTATTATCCATATCCTTTGTTAGGTCACTTCAAGGCATAGTAAAGTTTATTAAGTAATTCTAGTAACTTTCTAAGAAGTTAAACATATTGTCATGTGCTATCAAATTATATGGCACTGTATTTAATATTTAAATGTTTCTGTTTCTAGAAATATCCGTATATTGTTACGAAAAGCTCCTCTAACTCTAATTAAAAATAAAAATTTAAAAGCTGGCTGTGGAAATGAGTTAGTCATTTCCTTTTGAAATAAATTTAAATAATACATTTTTGATGTTCAGCAGATTATGATTTAATTACAGCTACACTGTGCTCAAAATAAATATATTGTATTGAAAAGTAGATATCTCATGAAGACCTTTTCCCCTTGGATAAATTTAAAAGATTCTAGAATGTGGCAGGTGGGTGGTACGTGTAGTCTTACAGCCTGGGCAAAGCAAACTTAGGAACAGATTTTAAAAAATAGATTAAGTGTTTTCTAAGCTATTCCTTGCCTACACTAGCCAGCTGAAGGCTTTAAATAATTTAATCCCTACAACAACTGCTGGCTCCAACTGGAAGCCTTAAACAAGGACTGGATTCACCCAGGACGCCAACAGGTGCAGACGGATAGAGATTCCCTAAATCTACACTGATCTATGTTTGTACGTGCGTAGGACACCATATTCTTGAATTCGACAGGGGCACTGATTAAATTAACCCAAGTACCCTTTGTTTTGCTCCTTCTACCACTGTCATGTGATTTAAGACCGTCTTCTGTGTGCTCTGGAGGAATGCTTAGCATATGAGGCTGTGCTCCATGGTTTTTGTTTGTTTTTGTTTTTACCATTTTAGTTTTGGAACGCAAATTAACTAATAAAATGACTTTTGTCCTCCTATTCTTTCTCTTTTTATCCAAGAAACTTAATATGTTAGCTCTAGCTGGGGATTTAGCTCAGTGGTTCCACTGCCTGCCTTGCAAGCACAAGGTCCAGAGTGAGATCCCCACCAAAAACAAAGCAAAGTATATATTTATTAACTCTTACTGAGAACCATTCGCATGGCTCAGAAAAAAAAAATCTTTTTTGCTTTTTACACATTTATAAATGTATGAGAATGTACTTGTCGCTGATTTATTCAAATATATTTACAGAGAAAATTCACACGTACTTAACTTTTATATAACCAAACCAAGACAACTTCTGCTACCAAGCAAAATTGGAAATATGAGAAAAGACTGCTGGCCAGGCGCCTGTAATCTTAGGTCTTGGGAAACTGAGGCAAAAGGATCAGGTGTTCAAGGCTAGCCTGGGCAACATAGCAGGACCCAATCTCAAAAACAAACAAACAAGCAAAACAACAAAACAAAACAAAAAACAAGAAGACTGCTATCAGACCTTCAGTAATAAATATATTATGATATTATATTGGGAGCTTTGACTGCCATGCAGTAAAAATAAATTTAAAAGGCAATAGCTGCTGGATGTCTACATGCAAAATAATGAACTTGGTCCCTTATTTTGCAATACATACATAAATTAACTCAGGCCAGGGATTTAGCTCAGTTGGGTTCATGCCTGCCTCTCAAGCACAAGGTCCTGAGTTCCACCCATGGTACAAAAAAAAAAAAAAATTAACTCAAATTGAATTAAAGATCATAGACCAATTGCAGTGGTACACACCTGGAATTCTAGCACTCTGGGATCTTGGAGCAACTTAGGGAGATCCTGTCTTAAATAAATAGGTCAGTGCTCACTTCAGCGCCACATATACAAAAATTAGAATGGTACAGAGAAGATTAGCATGGCCCCTGTGCAAGGATGACAGGCAAATTCGTGACAAATTGAATTAAAGATCATAGACCAATTGCAGTGGTACACACCTGGAATTCTAGCACTCTGGGATCTTGGAGCAACTTAGGGAGATCCTGTCTTAAATAAATAGGTCAGTGCTCACTTCAGCAGCACATATACAAAAATTAGAATGGTACAGAGAAGATTAGCATGGCCCCTGTGCAAGGATGACAGGCAAATTCGTGAAGTGTTCCATATTTCAGGGGGAAAAAAGAAAACAGAAAGAAAAAATGGAAACAAAGCTTTTGTATATAAGGAAGAGGGGCTGGGAGGGGTGGGTAGGGAAAAAAAGAAGCAAGATATATCATGTACAGGTACAAATTCCCTATGATGAATGTTAATAGTATGTACCAATAAATGTTTTTGTTAAAAAATAAATAAAATTGCAGGGCGTGGTGACGCACACCTGTAATCCCAGCACTCGGGAGGCTGAGGCAGGAGGATCGCTGTGAGTTCAAGACCAGCCTGGGCTATACAGTGAGCCCAGGTCAGACTCAACTATATAGTGAAACCCTGTCTCAAAAAAAAATAAAAATAAAAATAAATAAATAAATAAAATGATCAAAGGACTTCAATAGACATTTCTCCCAAAAAGATACACAGAGGCCCAGGAAGCACACAAAAAGATGCATAAGGGCTGAGGCAATAGCTCAATGGTAGAATGCTCACCTAGCATTTGCAAAACCCTGAGTTCAGCCCCCAATAAAACCTATATGCACACACACACACACACACACACACACCAATATGTTATCTCTTCAATTATCAGCAAATGCAAATCAAAACCATAAAGTAAGGTATCACTATCTCACACCCATTAGGATGACCATTGTCAAAAACAACAAAGAATCAGGAAATAAGTGCTCTCTCAAGGATGTGGAGAAATTGGACCCCTTCCATATTGTTTTGGGATTGCAAGGTAGTGTGGAGTTTCCTCACAACATTAAAAATAGAAACATCACATGATCCAGCACTTCTGAGTATATATTTAAAATAACTGAAAGCAGACATTGGGAGAGATATATTTGCACATCTGTTCTTCCCGGTGTCATTCATAATAGCCAAGAGATAGAAACAATTCCACTTACAGAGAACATCTAGGGTGGGAGTGCTAGGGGTGGAATCCAGGGCCTTGTACTCTACACAATCAGAGAAATTTCTCTCGTAACAGACTACGGAAAGGAACGCTGAAAGTAGAGCCTTAGAATCCAGCGTTTTTCACATGCTGGGCAAGCACTGCATTGCTGAGCTACCTCTGCAGCCCAGCGTGTTTTTATACCCCTGAGGTCCCGGGTCCCGTTGTGCAAGTCTGACCGCGGGTGGCCTGGAGACTGTGTGTGATGGAGCCCTCGAGTAAAACCCTGGCTAGCAGCACTTTACACGTGCTGTCCACGTGGTTGCTGGAAGAAGCAAGCACCATTCACGTGACGCCACTGGGGGAGGACAGGGAAGTTCACACTTGGTTTCTCCATGGCATCTAATTCCCTGTGCCTTGTGAACCACATCCCCAGCCCTTTTTGGTTTTTTGTTTTGCTTTGTTTTATACCGGGGATCGAATTCAGGCCCTTGCGCTTGCAAGGCAGGTGGCAGAACCACTGAGCTAAATCCCCGGCCCCATGTTTGTATTTTTTTTTATAGTGAGGCAGGGTCTATGTCACACTAAGTTGCTCAGTCTGGGTTCAAACTCAATTCTCCTGCCTCAGCGTTCCAGAATGCTGAGCTGATAGGCATGCTCATTTTATTTATTTTTCTCATTAAACTTTGTTTGAGTGGGTCTCCGAATTCTGTGATAGATTTCTGGTCAAGTTGTTTCTGCTGAAAAGAGCTAATTTTAGGGGCCGGGGATTTAGCTCAGTGGTTCCGCCACCTGCCTTGCCATTGCAAGGTCTTAAGTTTGGTCCCTGGTACCAAAAAAACAAACCAAACAAAAAGTGCTAATTTTAAAAGCTAATAACTTAAAACTGCCCCACCACAATGGTCCACAAAACATTCTTTCCTTCTGGAGTTTTTGCAATGCCTTGTTATCATCGACCAGTCTTACTACTAAACTTAAAATGCCAACTGGGAGAAACAGTTCCGAGACCGGTCTTCCCTCACTGATGAAGACTGGGGTGGCAGGTGTTAGTGACAAGATTCATTTAGCCTTTGGAGCTTTCTGGGCAGACTCGGTGACCTGGCCAGCTCCAGCAGCCTTCTTGTCCACTGCTTTGATGAAACCCACAGCGACTGTCTGTCTCATGTCACAGACAGTGAAACCATCCAGAGGTGCGCAGTCAGAGAGGCTCTTGACACACACAGCTCGCCTGGAACTATGACAATGATGGCAGCATCACCAGATCTCTAGAATCTGGGGCCATCTTCCAGCTCCTCACCAGACCACTGATCAATCTTTTCTTTCAGCTCAGCAAACTTGTGAGCGATGTGAGCCGTGTGACAATCCGGGACAGGGGCACAGCCAGCACTGATCTGGCTATCACCTGAGCACCTGATCAGGACAGCCACCTGAGCAGTGAAACCAGCTTCTTCCATTTGTGCTGTCAGCAGCAAAGTTGCCATGACAAATATCTTTGACAGACATGTTCTTGATGTTAAAGCCCACATCGTCCCCAAGAAGAGCCTCCCTCAAAGCCTTATGGAGCATGTCAACAGACGCTGTGTCAGTTGGGACAGTGGAATGAAGGTAACCACCATGCTGGGTTTAAGGATACCAGTCTCCACCCAGCCCACAGGGACGGTACCATTGCTGCCAATTTTGTAGGCATCCTGGAGAGGCAGCTACAAAGGCTTGTCAGTTGGGCGAGTGGGTGGCAGGATACAATCCAAAGCTTCAAGCGGTGTGGTCCCACTGGCACTGCCATCTTACGAGCGACCTTCCATCTCTTGAACCCAGGCACATTAGCACTTGGCTCCGGCACGTCAATACCTTTCCAACCAGAGATCAGCACAAAAGCTACCGAGTCGGGGTTGTGGCTGGTTTCCTTCATGTAGGTGCTGGCTTCCTTAACCATTTCCTCGTATCTCTTCCGGCTGTAGGTGGCTTCGTGGAATCTATTTTGTTAACACCAACAGCGAGTTGTTTCACCCCAAGCATGTGAGCCAGAAGGGCACGCTCACAGGTCTGTTCTTGGAGGTACCAGCTGCAAATTCACCAACACCACCAGTAACAACCGGAACGGCGCAGTCAGCCTGACAGTCATGTTTGTGATAAAGTCTCTGCGTCCTGGGGCATCAATGATAGCCACATAAACACTTGCTGGTCTCAAATTTCCATAGGGAGATGCTGATGGTGATACTATGCTCAAGCTCAGCTCTCAGTTTATTCAAGACCCCGATGTGCTTGAAGGAACCCTCTCCCACCTCAGCAGCCTCCTCAAAATTTTCAGTGGTTCTTTTGTTGATGCCACCACACTAGTAGATCAGATGGCGGTAGTGGTGGACTTAACCCAAATCCACGTGTTTGAGGATGACAGTATTCAAGTGGATCTTTTCTTTCCTATGTTGGCTTTGATTTAGTGGTGGTTTTCACTACACCTGTGCTTTTCAGGCAAACCTATTGGGAAAAAAGCCCAGATGCTCATTTTCATCTGTATCTTTGCTCTGTAGTATTCTGGAGCTATAAGTATGACAGCACTAGAGTTTTGTAGGTCCTTCAAGTGAATTATCAGACCCAAGGACAGCTTTGGGGATCCCTGGGGCAGACGGAAACGCCTGTCAATTTGCTCCATTCGTTTGGCCAAGGCCCTCCTGGCTTTCTCTAACATAAGTGTATCTTTTTCCTCTGTAATTAAAAAATATTCCACTAGGCATGGTGGTGCACACCTGTAACCTCACCATCCGGGGAAGCTGAGGCAGGAGGATTTCAAATTCTAGCCTAGCCTGAGCAATTTAGTGATCTAGGAAGAACCTGTCTTACAATAAAAAAGAAAAAAGGCCTGGGATTGTAGTTAAGTCAAAGTATCTAATTTCAATCCCCAGTACAATAGATTTAAATGTAAGTATTCTTATTCTGTGAAGTGCTGCTTCGATACTGCATGTCTTATTTCCAACATTCTTCCACATAATTGTTTTAGTATTTAGTACCCCGCTAATTCTTCAGTGCTTCCTTGCTTTCTGATACTGAAAGAGGATGTTGCAAACACATCCTGTCTTTCTTTGCCCCTGCTCAAAATGAACCATTTCTCCACACAGCCCTTGTTCCTTTACTTCCTCTGATCACTAATTCCAGACAGAATCATCTACTGCCTTTAGGAACAATGACTAGACGACTCAGGGGAAAAAATCCAAACTACCCTCAGCTTTGAGAATCCCTGGTTGAACAGGGGGTGGGGTGCGAACCTGTAATCCCAGCACTGGGGAAGCTGAAGCAGGAGAGTCTTGAGTTTGAGCCCAGCCCGGACAATTTAGCAAGACCCTATCTCAAAATCAAAATAATCGCATTTTAAACGGTCTGGAGGTATAGCTCAATGGTAAAGTGCCCCTCTGTTCCATCCCCAGTATTCCAGCTGGGTATGATGACATTCCCCTTAATCTTAGGTACTCAGGAGACTGAGGCAGGGGGGTTACAAGCCTGAGGTCAGCCTGGGCAACTTAATCAGATTCTGCCCCAAAATAAAATTTTAAAAGGGTTAGGGTATAGCTCTGTCATAGAGAACTTGCTCAGCATGCATAAGCCCTGGATTCAACCGCTAGAACAGGAAGAAAAGAGTCCTGGGTTGTCGATGAATCTTTGGGTATTTCCCTGAAGAAAACTTCAGACGTGCGCGCTTCCCCGGAAAGGTAAATGTCCTACGTATGGACACATTCTCCTTTGCATTCTGTGGCCTTTGGTTTACATCCAAAGAACCTCAAGTTGTACATCTAAGTAGCCAACATCCTCTCACCTTGCAAATGCTACTCGCGGAGTCAGAGTCGACTACCCCGTAACTACACAGAAGCCTCCTATGGTTACACCCAACCCACCTTTTCTCTTTCATTTCAGATCAGACTCACATCATAGTCCGGC